CGAGCGCGAACCCGGATCTAAGTCGAGCCATTCCCATCGATAGCATTGATGTACCAAGCATCGATCAGTCTCAGTTAATTAACCTCATCACAAACAAAATCGTCCAGATAGAAATCGATCCATCCGAAGACAATCTCGGCAACGAGGAAGACCGCCCTGTTGATTGGCGGGATGAGATCAAACTCTAGATACAAAGCGGCCACGTTCCCGCACAAGCCCGGAGGTTAAAAGCCTGATGTGCTAATTACATTCTTGTCAACAGAGAACTTCTCCGGCGAAGTTCTGATGGAACCTTCCTCACTTGCGCGGATCGAGACAAAAGCGAGAGGATCATGGGCGAGGTCCATGATGGAGACGACGGAAATCATTCGGGAGGACGCGCGTTAGCTCTAAAAATAAAAAAAGACGGCCATTTTTGGCCAACTATGCTCGCCGACTGCGAAGCATTTGCCCTAAGATGCGAAGCCTGCCAAAGGCACGCCCCCTTAAAACACGTACCTCCCGAGGTGCTCTCTCCCGTTACCGCCCCTTATCCCTTCATGCGGTGGGCCATGGATATCGTTGGACCATTTCCTTTATTCCGCAATAAGAGGTTCTTGCTAGTGCTAACCGATTTCTTTACTAAATGGGTCGAAGCGGAGTCCTTCAACCACGTCAAGTCGGCCGACGTAATCGGATTTATCTGGAAATACATTATCTGCCGGCATGGCATTCATTACGAGATCGTTACGGATAACGGCTCCTAGTTCACTTCCTATCTAACCAGGCGATTCTTCAGGAAATGGCACATAAAGCTCAGCACGTCAACCCCGCGATACCCTCAAGGAAACAGTCAAGCCGAGGCCACTAACAAAACCATTATTGATGGCATAAAAAAGAGGTTAGAACGCAAAAAGGGACTTTGGGCTGACGAGTTGGATGGCATGTTATGGTCACATCGCACAACACCGCGACGCGCGACAGGATTTTCATCCTTTGCCCTGGCATACGGTGTAGAAGCAATGGCGCCATCGACTCAAACCTATTCCTCTCGGCTCAAACCTAATACGTTCTCTTAAAGCTCAATCCCAAAAGGTCCTCCACTCAGAATTAAAACAAAGGCTTGAAGGAAAGGTTAAGGTTTTTAGGGTGTGGTTAACTGGTCAAGGTTATGACCAGCTACTTGGATCAACAAGAGAGCGGTAAAAAGAGGGAAAGAAGATCCAAGTATGTATACAAGGTATCCATGAGTTTAAAACAAATCACAACCAGATAATTATCAATTCAAGTTAAGGTTCTTATAAGTAAAGGATGGCATCATATCAAGCAAGCTTCAGTTTAGACTAGAATTCAAATCATGCGATCAAAGAATGGTGCGGTCTCATTTCAAGCTCAAATGAAAGCATTAAACAACTATGAACGAGGGCATTGGTGTTAAATCTAATGAAACAGAAAGTTCTTTGGTTATAATCATCATAATCCCCAATGCTAATGCAATGATGTAAATGCAATTACATGAACACTCTGTTTTTAAATGATTTTCTGAAATTTTTCAAATTTTTAGGGGTTTTTAATGCACATAGATGAATGCAAAACTAGATGCTAAAAATTCAAAATAAGAAAACAGAAAACATGTCAAATGCTATCATAAGCTCTCCCCCAAACTTAAATTACACAGTCCCTTGTGTAATAAAAATCTGAAGAAAGGCTTAGGATCAAAAAGAAATTTTAAAAATGCAAGGCTGTATTTACAAAGTTGAGGGTAATAGAATTACCTCTTCGGTGGTGGTTCAAGCCACGAGCTTATGACGTCGAGACCTGCTGCTACATGCTCGGTTTGGACATTTTCAGAGTCGACTGCGAGGTGATAGGCTGCCTCGACCGGGTGTGAAGAGCCGGCCCGATCGGGTGTGCGTCCGGGTGAGGTGCTCATGTCAGCTCCCGGTTCTCTTCTGGTTCTGAACAGACTCCTCCTTGGATCAAGTGAGGCTCTAGGCGGGCTAACTGGTAGGTTGGACTTGGTAGGTGTCCTGACTGATGCACTCTTTCCCAAACCACTACGCATGGCTGCAGTGGAGGTTGAACATCCGACCTTGTTCTAAAGCTCCTTGATATGTTCCCTCATATCCTTAACTGTTCCAGCAAGATCTTTCACAGTGTTCTTCAATGCTTTGATAGTCTTGCTTTGGAACTTGTTCCACTTCTGAAGGATGCTAATCTTTTTATGAGCTTCCTTTACCCCCCTTGACTACCTAGAGGACTCTTCCCACTCGTCAAAATAGAAGTCCTCTTCCTGCTCTTCCCTAGCAGGCTCTTCTTCTCTGATCTCAGGAGCATAGGTTTGTTGGGCTGGCTCGAAGCTAGGAACTGGATCTTGGACTGAGCTCGGGTCATATAAGGCTGAGACGGGTGGCCAAAATTCGATATTAGCACCCAATCTGATCTTTGTAAGCTCGGTGTTAGGCAACACCATTCTTGCTGCTCCAAGTGAAGGGTGGGTGAACTTATATAGATAAAACCCGTTGGGACGCTCGCTATCAAGGAAGTGCGTCCTTGTTCAAGTCTCAATGTCAATCCAGCGAGCATTGTAAACCTTCCCCCGTAATTCAACATCACAAGCTACCAATAGCGGGGTGACTAGTCCACCAATACTGAGCTCTCCTTGCACACCTCTCCTAACAGCCTTTAATACCCAATCCTTGCAGTACATCAGCTAGTCTAACAGATTCGAGACCATGCTACCATCCATTCTATCTCCTACTAGTTCTCTACCATCCCTAGTACTTGGCAATACACCACTCAATACTATATCTATGAGCTGGATCTCACTCTCGTTCACATTCCCGGTCTCCTTTCTAGCAAAAATCGTACTAGCCAAGGACTTATGGAAATACCTCAAAGCTGGATTTCGGATTTGGGCGCTCTTGGATTTCGAAGAGGTGTACTCCTTCCCATCTCCATTTGTTTTCCAAACAGACTTGATCTCCTCCTTATACACATCTTGGCTCATCCTACTTGCTTGCAAGAACCCATAGAGGTTCTCAACTTCTTTGAACGTGAGAGAATAGGCCCTTCACGCTGAAGGTGATGTATCCAAGGCAGTCATCTTAGTGGAAATCGGTTTCATCCTCGTAGAAATGGAGCTAAAGTGAAGCCAACACGTAGGACGTCTCCTCGTCGTAGGCTTCCAAGGTTTTGGACATGAATGAGCAAGACCGCTTCTCTGGAACAGAAACTCGACATCTCTTGCTATGCCCAGCTCCTTCATCGTTTGCCGCTGAGGATAGCGAGTTCCAACGAACTTTTGCTTCTTAAACATTGCATAAAGCTCTTCTGGAGGGGGCATGTTCTTGGTCTTCCTTGGAGCCACTACCCTTCTAGGCTCCATATCCACCATCGGTTCATCAACATCCTCTTATGCAGGTCTCTTCCCCATCGAAACTTCTTCTCTGGAAATCGGGTGGGTCTGACCCGATCGACTGGCCCAATCGGGTGATCGGGTTCGTGTTCGGGCTTCTCTTCTTCCGCTTCTGACCCGATCGAGTCCGGTTCCAGTGGCTTGGATTGCCAAGAAATTTCTTGCAATTTCTTCAGCAGATTGGCTGTGATGAGCTTCTCGTTGTGATCTTGAGAGCCTCTTCCTTCTGGGTTGGGGAATCCTTGAAGACATTCTTGTTTTCTGGGAATGAGAAACTCAAAACTCAAATTTAATAGGTTAGTAACCCAGAAAATAAGAACACCAAGAACAATCTTGAAAATAAACCCAGAAAATAAGAACACAAGGTTCAATTACACAAACAAACCCAGAAAATATGAAGAATCGAAAGCAAGTTTATCAACAAACCAGAGAATGAGAGGAACAAGGGGCAAATGAAATCAAACCCAGAAATTCTATCGACCAAGAATCTAGAGAGAAGGAAGAGAGAATTCTAGAGAGATAAATGAATTTTTAGCAAAATGAGGGAGTGAGAGAGGTTTTGGTCGAGTTTAGATGTTATAAAGAGGGTGAGAGGGGACAAAAATCTGAAAGAGGAGCGTTTTTGGTCGGGATTGGTTCAAAATTTGAATTTCAAATCGAGCTGACCATTGACCCGACTGTTACCTTTGACCCGATCAGACGGCTGAGATGAACCCGATCGGGTGGCTCAGATTGACTCGATCGGACGGTCGTGATTGACACGATCGAATCGCGTTGACCCGTCCGTGTGAGTGTTGACTCGACCGAATGGGCTTGTGAAATTGGGCTTTTAAGGCTCAAATTGACTCTTTCTTCCTCCTTCTGTTATCTTGGCCCAATAACACCTTTCTTCACTCACATTCAAACCTGAAAACACATCAAACTAGAAAGAACATCAAATTTTTTAAAAACTTAAAGAAATATGTACAAGGATACCTTTGGGACTTCCTCCCAAGTGAGCTTGTTTATAGTCGCTAAGCTTGACTTGGTATAACCCTCACGAAGTGTTTGAACAATGGAGAGGTTCAACCATTCTCTCCAATGCCAATGACCAATGTATCTGATACTTCTTCCTTGCAGCATGTCTTTTCTTGAAAGTAAATATCCTCTTTGCTTTCCTAGAAGTCAAGATGTCGTTCTTCTTCTTCAACATCACAATTTCCTCGGTCAATCCCTGAATAGTGGTTACTAGCCGCCTTAAGTCTTTCTTGAGAGTCTTGATCTCCTGGAGCTCAACACAAGTTGGAGAAGAGGTCAAGGTTTCTTCTATTCTGAACGTTGTACTTTGGTGCGGATACGCCATATTGATCTTCATCCTCGTCCCTCTAACAAGATCAAGAGTCATGACCCCCATTCTCATACCAATAACTGCACCTGCTGAGGCTAGAAATGGTTTTCCTAGAATTAGTTGATACTGAGGTTCCCTTTCCATCTCGAGAATCGGAAAATCAGTGGTAATCTTTACTCCTCCAACTTCAACAAGGAGATCCTCCAATACCCCTACGGGTTGCCTAGAGCTTCGGTCCGCCATCACAATCGTCAGGCTGCATGGTGTAAAGGGTGTCTAGCCCATCCCGTGAGCTATTGAGAGGGGCATCAAGCTAATCGAAGCGCCTGTGTCGCATAAACACTCGTTGAAGATCGTTGATCGGATTGAGCAGGGGAGTGTGAAAGCTCCAGGATCCCCAATCTTCTTGGAGAAATCAGAATCTTGAGAGGGTGGAATCCAACTCTTCCTTTGCTGCATCCTTTCCAATAGGACTTCTTTGAGAATCTCCCTGTAGGAGGGAAGGTTGGCGAAAGCATCCACCAAAGCCTTCAGCTGATCGTTCCGTGATAGTGAATCGAGAATGTGGTTATATTCTTCCTTGATTTCTGCCTTAGATTCTTCAGGGTAGAGTAGTCTTTGATTTGAAGGCTTGGGGCTGGTGGCTCTGATCGGGCGAAGAGGCTCGTCGGAACTTAATTCACACAACCTGTCAGACAAGCAGCGTACACGATATCGGGCTCGATCGGGTTCATGGTACCTTTGATCGGATCGGTCGAGTCTTTGGTAAACTCGATCGGGTTCACCATTGGAACGGTCGTGCCTGTTGTAGACTCGATCGGGTTCACCGTGTAGGGTACAAATTTGGGCTGAATCCTCCCCCTCTTGAACCTCACTGTCCTCAGTGATAATTGGGAATGGTTTTCCCAGAGTAATCGCATGAGCAGTAGCAAATTCTTTAGGGTTCATGATAGACTTTCCTGGGAGTTGGCCAGAAGATGTGGAGGGTTTGTTGCCTTCCAAGATAACTACCCTTTTGTTTAAAGAATCGAAATTTTGGTGGAGCTCCTGTATAGACTCACTCATCTCGTTGCGAAGCTCGGGTAACTGATTGGCGTGTTCCAGGTGGCTATTGTTCTGTGCTTGGAGAAGCTGATGTAGTGTTGTTTGAATATCTTGTTCTGGTTGCACATTAGTAGGGTGTTGTTGGAATCCTGGAGGGTGTGATATAGGTTGTTGATAAGAACCTTGGGACTGTTGTTGAGGTTGAAAAGCTTGTTTTTGATTAAAGCCAACATATGGCTTGTTCTGGAACTGTTGTTGTTGAGGCGTATAGACTTAATCCTGGGGGTTCGCGACGTTGGTGCTTCTATAAGAGAGATTCGGGTTGGGTTTGTGGTTGTTGTAACCCTTTTGGTAACCTCCTTGATTCTGGATATAGCTTACCTCCTCATTATTAGCACAATCACCATCATTAGGTTGGAAGGTCTCCTCCTCTCGAACAAAGTGCACATTCTTCTGCTGGTTCATCAAAAACTTATCGAGCTTGTCGTTAAGTGCCTTCATATCCCTCTTATACTTGTCCTCTTGGTCATTGTTGCCTCTAACGGTTCTGTCATAATCCTCGTTGTACGTGCCATCAGACTGAGCTAGGTTCTCCACAAGTTCCCAACTAGCTTCAACATCCTTGTTTAGAAAGTTTCCATTGCTAGCAGTATCGAGGAGTAGGCGAAACTTAGGTAGTATTCCTCGATAGAGAGTACTAAGCAGCGACTCATTGCTGAAGGCGTGATGAGGGCACTATGACTTATAGCTCTTGAATCGTTCCCATGCTTCATAAAATGTTTCGTTGTTGCGCTGAGAGAAGCTAGAGATATCATTCCTCAATCTGGCGGTTCTTGCATTGGAGAAGAATTTGGATAGGAATGCCTTCTTACACTCTTCCCATGTCGTGATTGAACCGGCTGGCAAGGACTTTTCCCATTGATGAGCCTTGTCGCCTAAGGAGAAAGGGAACAATCGCAGCTTGAACCCATCTTCGCTCACTCCATTGATTTTGGTTAAGCCACACATTCGATCGAACTCATCGAGGTGATCGAGTGGATCCTCCATTGATAATCCATGGAATTGATTTCCTTGTATCATTGAGATGAGGCTGCTTTTAATTTCGAAGTTATTGTTCTGGACTGTTGGCGGGACTATCCCTTGTCTAGTGGTAAGGTTTCGTGGTGCATCACCGGCTCCAATTAGGGTTGGGGCGCGTGGTTGAGGCTCTATTTCCACTTGTTGAGTGTTGTTGTCTGATGCTTGAATGCGTTGCTTTCTGAGTTGTCTTGGCAAGCGGTCAATGTTGTTGAGGTAATTGAGTAGGTGCTGGTTTCCCTTTGATCTGGTGTGCATGCAAGGTTACTCGATCAGAAACACGTGGTAGACTCCATCGGATCTGCAGTTGGCTCGGTCGAGTGCAGAGTGTAGCTCGGTCGAGTGCTGAGTGTAGCTCGGTCGAGTGCAGAGTGTAGCTCGGTCGAGTGTACCGGAAATGCAAGACAGACAAGTAGCAAAGGTAGCTCATTAATGTCAATCTACTCCTTAACAACCAATCTCTTGGGTAAGTAAATAGATCTCTGGTATTAGTTGATCAGACATTCCATTTGAACACTTTTTGAGTGCTGAAATGTCTAAGATCTAATCTTGCATGGTTAATGCTAAGATAGCATTAAGATCTCCTAATCCAGAAGGCATCTACCTAAATCTATACTTAAGCAACCCTAGAAACTAAGATTCCTCATCACCTAACCCATCCTATAAACCCTAGACAGACTACTCAGATCTGGAGTTCATCATGAAGAACACAAACCCATAAATCTTTGAATCTTGCATAACTAGATAGATAATGATCTAAGGAGCAAGATATTGTAAAGAAACAACTACAAATTCTCAATAGATCAAAAGATATAAAGATTACAAGTTTCTGGAAATGTTTGGTGGCTACAGAGAAAAACCCTAATGAAAACTCGATTTTAGCTTAATGACCCATGGGGTCTATTTATATTAAGGGCAGGAAGCCCTAAAACACAAAAAGACAAATTACAAAGTCGGTTTAAGGTGAGCTCGGTCGGGTGCTTTTTGGGCTCGTTCGGGTCCTCCCTCGGCTCGTCCGTGTTCAGCTTCCTCTTGTTAGTCCGGGTGCTCGGTCGTGCTTGCTTGGTTGGGTTGGACACACTCGATCGGGTCCATGCTTTGCGGTGTCCGGGTGTACCTTTTTTTGCTCTAAAATGCAGATGATATGCAAATCCCTATGATAAAGATCCTAGATGCGAAATATAATGCAAAGAGACTAGAAACTCTAAGAAGTAGAGACCTAGATATGCAAATAATGCACAAAACATATGCTTAAGAGTATAAAAATATAGGGTTATCAGCTACCCACGGATTTTTGCAAATTCAAACGGGACGAATGTAAACATTGCTCATGTCACATGTGGCTTTCACGGGGTAGAGTTTTTACTGGTAAAAACATCAAATACGTCCACTTTGACAATTTAGGTAATTCGTTTTGGCAAGTAAGATATTGTTGGCATTTATCCGATTTCATAGTTTAATAGTTTACTAAACATATAATTGATTACATTAGTTTAATATATGGATCTGTCTTCATATCGATCCAAATATTATGATGAAACCATTATTATTACAAACATTCCGAAATTTGATGAAATCAAATCGTTATAAATATAAGTTGTAAAGGTTATATCAAATAATTATATTCACAAATATATCCCCGCACGTATGTGCGGGTCCAAATCAAGTGTGGCTTTAAAGACAAAGACTTAAAAATTGTGTTGTCGACTTTTTTAGGGCCTTTTACAAAGTATATTAAGCCCAATTAAATCGCAAGTCCATTCATCAAATATACCTCTTCAATTTGGTGAGGATCCATGAAGGTGTGACCGGGTTAGAAGGGACACGCGGACCCCTTATGGGTCTGAAATTGATTTTAATGGTGTTACGATTTTAACCCTATCAATTTAGAAAAAAGCTCACCTTCATAAGAAATTGAAGGGTAGTTTTTGGAATTTTTTGGCAAAATTTTATGATTTTCAATTTTTTACTCTTTTAATATTAAGAAGATAACTATTTTAGATTTATACAGTTTATATATAACTATTTAAATTTATTTTTATTTTTGTTAATATAATTTAGTTAGGTTAAAGACGCAACTAAATCACGATTGTCTTATCGATTTACTTTTTTAATCGTATTAAATTATATTATTTTATATATTAACATATTTTCCAAATCTAATACCATAATGTTAACATATTTATCACTATCCGTATCATATATATCAAATTAACCCTTCTTACCATCAATATCACTGTCAATTTTAAATTCTAGAAAAACAATTTAGTAGAGATGTAACCGATCAAAGATCTTAGTCCAATAAAAACTTCATGCTCTATTTTCTAGAATCAAAATTTTTAAATATGAATAAATTTGCCTTCTAATTTTTTATAATGACCAAAAGGTTACTAAATAACTTATCTATACACAAAAAGGTCGAGATTGAAATTTAAAATTCAAAATTAATTAGGAATCACTGCTTAGATCACCCCGCTATTTGTAAACAAGTTCCCTAGCAGAACTAGTGTGAGGTGATCTCCATCAATTTGTCCAAACTTAGCTTCAGCTTGTTCTGCTTCTTTCTGAGCCTCTCTAGTCTCTAGGCTGAATAAAGCAATTCGGTACTACATAAATAAATGGTATATACAACAGAAGAGCTCTATGGACGAGGTCAGCAGATGCATAGAGACTGATACCATTAGCTTCATGACTCATGAGAGAGAATAACGGAGAAACTGCAACGAACACGGATACTTATCAATATGCAGACTCGAAACTAAAGACTGCTGATGATAACCTAACACTAATACTTAATTCGAAATGATAATCAATAATCATACAAGGTCAGAACACTCAGAACTGAGTTTGCAAAGTTTGATTATTATAATCACCAAGTGGCTCAAAATAGGAGCCTCAAAATAGTTTCAGAAGACGAGAAGCTAAAGATAGACAATGCTTAGTTAAGCAAGGTTCTGCAACTCCAACAACTTCCTACGCTTACCCGTAGTTTTAGTATCCAAAACAAGTCTATTACAGTTAGCTATTCTTTCTCTAGACATTAAACATCATGATCTCTAATCAAATCATTTCTAGTAATTACATATGATACTATTACATATGTTATTCCAAACATGCAATTCATATATTATACCTAACATATTCCCAAACCGTTAGAGTAACATATGATATATATATATATTTAAAAGGAGTATTTCGAACATAATCAAATGTTACATTTCATCTTTACAAAAATTAAGAATTAGAAAGAAAAACGAAGCCATGCTTATCCATTGAAATTGCTCTATTATGATTTTCTTATTTAATCAGTTTTATTGTATCTTAAAATTATGATTAGAAAAAAAATTCTGATTAGACCGGAATCAAACCATCAAGTATGTATGAAATAATAAAAATATTCTAATTTAGTGTTTTGTTGACAAAAAAAAAGACCGGTATCAAACCCGACCCGTATTCGAAATAATAAAAAATTTCTCACCAAAATAAGCATCATGTTATTAGGTTTCATGAGTTCATTTTTATTATTTGCTCTCTTCTCCTCTGTTTATTTCACTCTATTATTTCTATGGGGTTATGTAGCGTATGAATCCCTATACTCTTATATCATTTTTAACGTTAACAATCATCAATAACCAAATCAAAGTTACCAATATATCTTCATCTAAAGAAAAAAACAATAACTAAGAAATAAATAAGAAGCAATAAGGAAACATCTCCTCACCTTTGCTCATGATTGTGAGGAAGAGATCCGATATAGCAACCGCGGTGAACGAACGGGTATATATATATATGTCATAGAGAACTTGAAATGGGTTAAGCTCTCCAGCAAAGCTCAAAATGTTACCATGGCTACTACCATATATGATATATGCTCCAAGTTGTTGTGAATCCAAAGCTTACCTTCGTTGAACTTAGTAGATACTAAACATTTATTTATCTTGGTCCATATGTATATAGTACTAGCCTCAAATGGGTTTTTAAACTCCACATATCCATCTCAGATATGCATGCATCATTGTATCACTTATGTTGCTTTTATCCATGTAAACAGCTTTGTATCCTAAAATTACCATGTTTTCGATAGGTGTGACCAGGCCAAAGTGTCCGAATAAATCATATTCTCAAGTAGAAGGATAAAAATGAGGATAAGGAAGGAGGGATCTCAAGACATTGGCGTGAAATAGGATTAGCGATACAGTAGGTTATATTCTCGGTTATTGTATTAGCCAAACTGATCAATATAAAGCCTACATCCGTGTAAACCTCGAGTCTAACACGATGTTCCTTACTGTTCTCGAACTTATCGACTATGAAACAAGAGATGTACGATCCTAGAGATCGTGGAAGTCCCCAAATATTGTATCCAAAGTAAGCTATGACTTCTTTTGGAGAGTCCCTGCAAAGGCGTGACCATGAAGAATGCAAGTTTTTATGATGAGGCAGGAAAAGCTCGCAAAAAACTGAGATTTAAGAATTGATTTCTATTTCTTGCAAACCGATGCACAAGTAGTGATGCTCTTTAGTGTTAATCTCACTAATATGCTAAGCTGCATGGAATCGGAAGCGAAAGCGGAAGTGGAAGCGTTTGGAAGCGAGGAAGCATATTTTTTTATAAAATTAGAAAACGGGTACGCGTTGGAAGCGTTAATATATATATGTATCATAAATTTATTTTTAAATATCTTAAATTAATAAACATATATGTTAAGATATAAAATATTTACATAGTATCTACTAAATAAAGAACTAGGTTATAAATTTAATTTAATTTTATTAAACTGTACACGTTATCAAATGTCAACATACAAGAAAAGAATATATATATATATATATATATATATATATAGAGACGGAAAAGGGAAAAAAAATTAGAATTATAAACCCTTGTCAGATTGACTATCCTTTATTTTCCTTAAATACTAAAATTTCTTTAAAAAATAATTTTAAAAATCAAAAAGAAAAAAGCCAAG